GCTAAATTTACTTTTTATCACCTCCAACAACACATCTTCTACCTCTTCTACGCTGATATCGTGCTCGAACCTTATAGAAGCTTGCAAAAAGACTTTCGACGCTTCCGACACGCAATAGACGCCTCCGACCCGCAATAGACGCCTCTGACAGCTACCGGAAAGGAAAAATGCATGAAAACGAGGCAAAATTCAAAACCGAAGAGTGAAGGAAATGAAAGTTTGGAATGGCGAGAGAAAGGGATTCGTGCTTACGAAAATTAACCCGAAGCCCTGAAGTACAAGTCGCGGCACCCAAGGGGGTCGCTTGCCTCCCTATTAGTTTGCAGCCCTTGCAGTGTAGCAAAGGTCGCAGCTCCCAACTTCTACCGTGCATGAACCGAACAGGGAGAAAGGAGATCGTGAGAAGAAAATAGGGAGAGCAGAAGGGATTTTGGGAGAAAAGTAAGGAAAATCAAAGCTCGAGACTCCTATTCGACCGAACGAAGAAATAAAATGGAGTTAGGTCAATAGGCTACAGTGCACAAGCGGGATTAGTATTATTTAATTAATTAATTTAATAAAACTTATAACTTCCAAATTCATATTTCTCAATTCGATCATAATTTACATACAGTGATTCATATCAAATTACTAGATTTAACACGTTGAATTTTATAAATTTGTTTCAATTTAAATCTGAGATATCTAAAATTTTGGGTATATTTTAGGTCTTCAAAATTTTAACCGATTTCTCAAAATGAATTATTATAATCTCACCTCCTTATAAAATTTCGTCCTCGAAATTCATGAGCTCCACATAAACTGTGAATATATACATTATGGAGATGAAACAAAAAGTGATAAAGAAAAATTGTTTCTTGTCAAATGATAATTGAAACATATCATTCTATGCATCAGAATCAGTGGAAACATGCTCATCAGGCTCTTCATGGGTTAAGGAATAAACTCTTAGACAAATGAATTGACTTGGTTACTTCCTACGAGTCACAGGTAGAGCCTTCCTGACAATTCCTCTAAACTAGATTTCTTCCTGGGTAAGAATCTGATGTAGATATTTGAACGACATTATGATAGTTTCTCCTTTGATGTCCAAGCTATATGCATAAATAACATACATTTAACACAAACTTTCACCACAATGTTGCTTTCCACACTTAACACAGGGTTGTATAGTGCTACCGCCAGTCTGGCTAACAACTTCACCAGCGTAGGACTTTAATTTCTTCCCAATGGACTCTCCTTCTCCTAAATGAAACGTTGGTGTCACTTCTTCCTAACTCTTCCTCTTATGCATGTCTCTACGCTTCTGAATTGTTGGAAATCAACCTCCACACGCCTAGCCCTTTCCACTAGTACTGAATAATAGTCTTCAATCCCAAGTGGTACTAGTGGTTGTCTGATCAAATCCTTCAATTCAAAAAGAAATCTATGACATTTCTCCCCTGCATTAGGAATCAACTGGGGTGCATACCTCGATAACATAGTGAACTCCACTTCGTATTGCATAATCAATGTATCTCCTTGTACCAACCTAATGAATTTATCTTGCATCTGTCTTCTAGCTAATAGTAGTACAAACTAATCTTTGAAGGTTTTCGCAAACTCGTCCCACTGCACCACGTGATTGGTTCTATCAACGAACTTCTCCTGCATTGTCCATGCCAACATCTTTCAGCTTCCTCCTCAAAAGCAAAAGTGGCTAAGATAACTCTCCTCTCTGGGGGACAAGACATGCCATCTATGATTTTCTCAACTCTCAATAGCCAATTTTCTGATTCCAATGACCCTCCTGCACTAGAAAATAAATGTTGTCTCATATCTTGAAAGAGCTTCAAATACTTATCCATTGGTGCTCCACTGATACTAGCTTGAGATTGAGAATTTTTAATCAACTAAGTCACAGCCTTCATCATATCAAAGAATGCATCAGCATTGATTATGTCATTCTGAGGTACAACAGATTCTACATTCTCATATCTAATCTCTTCCTTCAGATCATCCATAACTCTGAAATAACAACTATATAATTTAATTAGACAACCAAAATTTTTAATTTATATTATTTATAACTTAATACTATTATTCTATTAGCTTTTACATTAAAAAATAAATTATTTATTCTAAACCACTTGCTCTAATGTAAACATTTGCTTTGACACCACTGTGTCACTGCTTGGCCCGTGACTTGGAATTAACCAAGATAGGAACGGATGGTCGGGCGATGGAAATCAAATCTCTGTTATTCTAATTTTATTACAAACAATTTAATATTCAAATAATACATGAAAGAGCCACTAAGAAAAACAATTAAAATTAACAAGAAAAAATTTGAACTTTTTCGTTTGTGGTTCTTATTTCCTGTATACATTTGCTCATCTTTTGTTCATCTTATTTAAATGTTTAAAGCCTAAAAATAATATTAAAACAACATAATGAATTATCTAAGGATGACCCAGGAGTAATCGTGTTTCTGAACTACAATAACCCAAGGAAAAGAATTCAATATGCATATTGGTCTATAAAAAATCTTATAACATGCTGATATTTAATATTTTTTATAAGCAATTTAATATATGTTAATGCAGATATCAATGAACTTTTTCCAAATGAACAAACACTAATCTTCTATATGCATTTATCATAACTTTAATTTTACTTGACACTTTACATATATTTCTATCTTTATGAGGATCACCATCAACAAAACTAACATACCTTTCATCGATATTGCTCTGTCAGCCCCGTCGACACAGCGGTTAGCGGTCTACACATCACAATTATCTAGGGTGAAAAGGCCCTTGTCTGTCCCTGACTGATATTATTATATCGACACAGCGGTTAGTAATGTAAACATTACAATTATCAGAGCAGGTAAGCGCTGGTCTACTCGCCCTTGACCGATATTATCCCGTCGACACAACGATTAGTGATCTAATCATCACAATTGTCTAGGCTGATAGAAAAACTCTATGTATAGGTACATTAACGTCCCATGTCTGTACCATTAGAGAGTGAAATCCTCCTCTGAACATACACATACAAACATTCATATATAAGTTATTTCACTTTCATACATACATTATTTTCAAACATTCCGAGATATTCTTATGCATCTATGAGCGTACATATTTATTCTTATGCTGTTGTGCAACTATTCAACAGACATAACTCTCATATTATGCATACCTATTATCTCAAGTATATCTTTTCTATCATGCATATATATTTCACATCCTCTCTATATTTCATGTATATATGTTTCATATCCTATCTATTTTTCATATCATACATATCATAAATATCATGCATCTCATACATATATTTCATGCATATCTTCTATATCTTTTCTGACGTGCATATATTTCTCATCTACTAATACGAATAATCTAACTAAACTAGATCATACATAGAGCCAAACATACATTCTGAAATAAAGAAAATTACTTAAATTTACAGATGTAATTACTCACCTCAGTTGCCACATTGAAATACTAATCTTCGGTAACTGGTTGTACGTTGCGATAACTTTTATATTGAGCTTAATAGCCTAGAAAACATAATGTTAAACTTTAAGATTCGATTAATTTCCGCAAATCAAATTATTTTTATTAAATTAGCATGGAATTATTTTACTTGAAATGTAAGGATCTGTCCTACAACGATCTTGTACACACTTGCCTCAAACTTGTCGCCTCAGGTGAATAACCTGAAATCCTAAACGAACTGAGAATTCATAATATATTAATTCATTATGTAGTTTGGCTCAAAATATCATTAATTTGCCAAATATACCATAAACGACTTTCTCGTTGACCAGCCTTTCTCCAAACCTGTCAAATTTACTTTTTATTACCTCCAACTACACATTTCCTAAGTTGATATTGTGCTAGAACCTTTATGGAAGCTGGCAAAGAAATTTTGACACTTAAGACACACAATCAAAGCTTCCAAAGAATACCAAAAACAAGAAAAGCACAAAAAATGAGGCAAACTTTAATTCAAAAGGGTGAGGAAAAAAATGAAAGCTTCATATCGTGAAAGAATGATTTGTGCTTATGAAATTTGCTACCGAGCCCTAAATTGGGAGCTACAGCCTTCGCAGGTGCCGCTGGATTACCTGATTGCGGCCCTTGCACTGTGATTGGGGAAGAGAGGATAAGAAATAGGGATAGGGGAAAGAAATGTGATAGTTTTGGATCTCTAATTGGCCGACACTTGTGAATAAAAGAAGTCAAAGTCAGTTGTGAGCATTGAGCTGCAGGATTAAGTAAAAAATTATGAATTAATTGTTTAGTTAATTTATTAAATCTTACAACTTTCAAATTTTATATTTTCCAATGTATTGATAATTAATATATAGGTCTTTACATGGAATTGTTCGATTCAACGGACAAATTTTTATAAAATTAACTCAGACGAAAATTGAGGGGTGCGAAAATTGAAGTATATTTTAGGTTGTCAAAATTTTATCAGATTTGTAGATTATTACAACTACCAGCAAAAAGCCGTTGTCTCTCTCCCTCTTACGCTCAGGTAGTTTTTTCATACAGTCCATCCATATTGCTCAACTATTCCACAACAGACCGACGATTTCCCTTTCAAGTTTTTTTTTCCTTCCCAAAAAGTGCTAACAGTTTTATCTTCATCATCCTTTTGTTAAAGTGGGGGCTGTTGGCAGAATCATATAAAATGAAACTAAGAAACTGAAATATCCTCAACTTCTTAGAAGCATTATAGACATGTAAATCAGTTAGGAAAGGAAAAACAATACAATTTATAATACAGGAAGCTTAATAACATCAAGTTCGCACTTTAAAATAAACAACCTTTCACCTAAAAAAATGGACAGAAAAGATCTAACAAAAAGCACAAGAGCTATTATTAACTCTGAAAAGATTTTCTATCATTACAAAAAAGTACGAGCACTTAAGTTTTCTTAAAAATTAAATGATCTGAAATTAAAAGAGTGCGAGTGAAACTTCAGAAACTCACCATCATACCTTGTGATAGGTAATGGCTTCTGTTATCCCATGGCAGAATCCTAATATATTATTATATTGAACCCTTCCTGACCTAAACATTAGAAGCGTGTCTTTTTTGAAGAACAGGCAGTCACTGCTTGGCAGAAGTTGGCTTTTCAAAGATGAAAATTGAACTCTTATAGGGAACACATCTAACTTCTTCCTTTTAAAATAGAGAGCCAATTTTTCTGCTTTCATGAAGAAAATAAAATATCATAAAATGTAAAAGGATGCAAACTTAATGAAGACCGAAAGAAAACGGCAAAGCATTCATAAACAATAATCAACGCAAAATTATGTTAAAAAAGGCATTATATGCCACCTTTTCAAGTGAGGCAGATGAAATATATCTTCTTTCAAATTATCCAAGCAAATGCCAAATGATAGCATAGTGTAATGCAAATGATACATGATGGAACATTTATACATTGAAATTTGATGAAGGCTGCAGTCTCCTGGTTCCTATAGACATATCTAGGCCAAGGTTTAAGAAATCAGATCAGATTTTAATTCTGGTCTCAACTAAGGTGTTTCTGCGCTAAGAACTTGGAAAATATCTGTGGTATGATCTTAATTTCACTTTAAGCAATGGCCATTATTCTAATAACAAAAGGAGTAAAGAAAAAGCAATTATTATAGCTTGAAATAAAAAATATGCATTCATGCAGTAATCACGTAAAGTCAGCACCTCATATATGGTGCTTTTACCAATTGTTAACGTTTCAAATAGGTTTAAAACAAAAAATAACTCACACCCAAGGCAGAAATAGCCCAAGGTACAATGTGACTCAACCCGTTAGAAGAGAAAAAACTGCATGTCAGGACCTTTGCCAGAATAAAATTTACCAGCAAAGTTTCAAATATTTGAAGCCAAAAATCAAAATTCATACAAACAAATAAAGATCTAAGTTTCACTTAAGCTTTCTGAAAAACATAGAATGACCATGCAAGGCACACATTGATGCAAGATGGAGAGGACAGATGAAACAACAACAAATGACTAATAAAAATGAAAAGAAAGAAAATGAGTAGAAAGATAAGAAAAACCGTAACACACGGCCTGATGCCACCTCAGCACAACCAAAAAGGCCTATTAATTAACAATTGTCACAGCAGTCAGCAGCCTATTTATAGTCAGTCAAGAGGAAGGACATGTGATAAACTAGAAAATAGAACTACGGTTGTTGCAATCTAAAAGAAATACAGAGAAATAAATCAATTTTAATGAATTCAATATAAATAAAAAATAAATAAAAATGCATAAAATTGCATGGCTTGTTTGCATCACACGTGTGCTAGTCCATGTGTTTTGTTTTCATCATTAACTTAAAAGTGAAGGCATTTACCCTCCAAAGAGATAACATAGTAACGAAACTTGAGAATTTACTAATACACGCTCAACACAGCTAGAAACATCAATGTTGATATTTGAGATATACATACATCACATGCTGAAGCATGCAAACTTACAGCACCAATTCAAATCTGGCACATTCAATTTTTAGATATTCAAATTTAGCACATTCAATTTTTAGATATTCAAATTTCAAAAGCAGATCTTCAAAGATAACAATTGTGTGGGACCAAGTTAGTGCTAAAGTAGCATATTTCTCCAATTTAGTCCCCCAACAATAAAAAGTCATCCAAAATGGCCTCTCTTAAAGAAATTAAAATACGAAATTGATCCCAATTAAGTTTCTTTATTATATAAAATTGTTCCCAATTAAGTACCCAATGGAAGATTTTGGATCAATTTTGTCAGGTCGAGAGCTGAATTGGAGAAATGTGATAACTTTGGATCTAAATTGGCCACATTTTGGAGTTTCACCCTCAAAGATCAATTTTCAAAATAAATAATTTAGAAGAGCCAAAAAGTATATACTATCATTTGGGAAAAATTTTCAATCCCTTTTTTATTTGACCCATTGAGTGTTTGTATAGTTGTTGTCTTATATCATTTAGAAGTTGAACCTAAGATCAAGGGTTAGATTTAACCTAACTCCCCTCATTGTCAGGGATGTTCACCCGCAACACCTGAGCATGATAGACCCTAAGTCCAAAGAAATGAGGGATGTGAAAACAAGATCTTAAGACAAAGTCCTATGTGAGCGGAGTACTTAAGGAGAGTTTCGGCCATGGGTTGGCAAGTGAGACCAACATGGGAGGTGAGAAAAAGCATAAGCCCCGAGTAGTCCTCAATAATCCTCATGCAATGCAATAACTACCATAACAACAACTCTCTGACAAATCTTATGGATCACAGCTTGGATGGTGATACTTAGCTCGGCTTGCCTAGCAAACCATGTATAGCAACCTCAGTATTATACCTTTGATGCAGTCATTAGCAAGCTTGACACTGATCCCCTACTAACATGAAGCCAATGAAAGTGAAGCAGCATGAGCCTTATCAGAGAAGCACCCAAAATCTCACAGAACTAAGAGGACTTATCTGGTAACAATATCCAAGAGCATTCTTTCAATACCACTAAGAGAATATTGGAAAACATTGTTTAATCCTGACCTCAGTAGAGAGAATTGTATCTTCCAAAAGTTCAAAGACACCTTCTATAACCCTTATTAAGGAAAGAAAATAAAGAAAGACAAAGAAGCTAAGCCTTATCATAATGAAGTTTATTGTTTCTAATTTCTTTTCTCTCATTCTAGCTCATGATTATTCACATGAACCCAAACTCTCTTCTCAATCAGCCCCTCTCGATGTATCCCCATTGCCCAGTAATTATGTAACTCGTAATCATTTAAATCTTAGGCAACAAGATTAGATTCTCTAATTACAATGGCTAGAGGAAACAAAATACTAAATGTAAACCAATGAAAGGCACCCAAAACATTCAAAAGAAAATATCCTTCAAAGAAGCTAAGGAGCAGTGAACCATGTGACCCATGTGACCCTAAAACCAGTGCATGGTGATGCAAGTTTATATCACCAACCCAGCTCAGTTGTACTTCTTTAACTAGTTCAGCGGCTTATTGAACACATCCCAAGTATAGGGGATGTTAAAGAGTCAGTCCTTCGCTTCAACATAACAAAATATCACGCTTTGAGAAATAGGAAACGAGTTCGCCTGAAGTAGGAACCAAATGGAAGGCTAAGAAAGCACTACTTAACATGCTTAAGGACATCAAGTCAATAATGATTGGAGTTCATGAAAATGGCAGCACCAACATTATGATTCAGACAAATGAGAAAACCTAGTTGACAAAGTTCAAGGCTCCATAGTACATTCCTATAGCAACACAACTAAAGACATGAAGCACCATGTAGGCTTCAAGGTCATGATAACCTTGAATAAAGTGTGCAACTAACCTCCTAAAGGAACATGAAGCTATACATGTTCTCCAAGCTCCCAACTAGAAGCATGAAATCATTAAATGTTTTTAAGCCATTATACATCACCTATTATCGAACTCCCAAATAGACAGGAAGAGCAAAAAAATAATCCCCAGCATCAATCAAAAAGACTATAAATCCATAAAGGCATGTGTAATTGTTGAAGGAGAAAAAAATCTAAAAATATAAGTCATATAAGTTACTGACAAATTAATATAAAAGATTCCACAAGATAAAAAAGAAAAAAGATTCATTGAGATAGAACCAACAAATCCTATCTAAACTCATAAATTACTAAAAGTAAGTCGTATTAATAAGGTCAAGTCAAATAGAAAATCTAGGTTGATCAATCCCCAGACTAAGTGATACTGGAGTTAACCCTAATGACAAAAGGTAAAGCAAATATTATTAATGAAAAAGCCAAATAGAATGTTACAATCAAACACACAATCAATTGGAAAATAAAAAAACCACGACACACGACATAATGCTATGATGGATCTCAAGTGGTGGTGGTTGCCGTTAGGACCTTGAAAAGGTGGCAGTGAGGTAGGGGAGGTGCGGAATACGGGAAATAGTAGCAATGCAGCGTAAGGGGATGGAAGTATCAGTTAGCTAGAGTGAGACAGCAAGCGAGATGGCAAGCGGAGCGGCGGTGTATGGTGGAAAAGGCTGGAACGGCCAGGGGACAGCAGGAAAACAGCAGCTTTGCTATTTTTAGGATGACAACAACAAGAGAAAAGGGCCAATTTCCACGAGGCAGCAGACTGGATTGATGAAAGCAGGTTTGCGGGCGGCTGGAGCGCAGGATAAGTAGAAAAAATTGCTGTCTCAGTTGGCTGGCAGCAGCGAGGGGGTAAAGCAGGGGACTGCAGGACAGCAAGGGGCGGCTGTCAGGGGTGGTGGAAGTGGCCAAGAAAAGCTGGAATTGGAAAACTGCAGTGAAAAACGGCAAACGAGTGCTGTTTGGGAGCGGCGGCAGCGATGGAGGGCAGCAGGGAACATCGTGGGAAAGATGCGGAAGGGGATAGGAAAGATAAGCACTATCGCTGGGGAGAGATACAGATGGAACATCACTCAAACCCTCAGATAGAGCCCTTGAAGGGAAAACGGAGACATCAGCAATAATCTCGAACAAACTCACGCAAAACCTAGACTCCAACAAAAATAGATATATAATAATAGGATAACTACGAGTGGCCCAAGAGGACCGACCAACTCAACAGGGACCCAACTTGAACCAGTTCGATCCAGGAGCACTAGGCGTGTCTCAGCTTTGTTCCCGAAACTACCACAACGGGAGCTACAGAATCGCTCCCGTGTCACTACTGCTCCTTAAAGTCAATCATACTCGAGAATACCTAATATCAAGAACAAAGACAATATTAATATCAAGAACATTCTTGTGCCTTAATTTGTGTTAATTAACATAAAGAAGAGGCCATAATTTAAAGATTGTTACCCTAATAGGATAGTCTATGCTTTGAAATTAGTTAATCCATATGACAGAGTGAATCACAAAGAACAAGAAAGACAATTATTTATTTACATAAAAAATCTATATGATAACAATTATTTAGTCGCTGAATTAAAAAAAGTATAATGAGCCCAAATAGAAGTCAGATAATGGTAGGAATTCAAAAAATATATATAGTTAAAACTAGTCATAATTTCACGAATTCTTTGTCCTAAATTATTAAATTTAAAAAAACTTGGTCACAAAAGGTAGTCAACCCATACCAACTATGAGATGTTTTGTCAACAACTAAAAATTGTATCATCCAAAGCTCTCCAGCAAATCACTTTGTCGTTGGTGTTGAATTCATAAACAGTATTTTA